GAACGTAGCCGGATATTTTTTGAGTAGTATTCTGCTTTTAGTAGAACTGAGTGACCTTAATGACGGAAGAATGCTATAGTTCTAATGATGAAGCACCCATTTCCCGCACTTCGTCAATTGCCTTTTAGCGTCTATCGCTTTTTTAGGGCTCTTCAGTTTAGCTGCCAATGAGCTGTGTACCTGCTTTGGTTACTGTAGTTTCCACTAATCACAATATACCACCCATCACACCATTCGCCGAAAATCCGGCTAGTTCAGTGATCGAGAAAGTAATGATACCGGTCTACCCATAACAAAGTGTGTTTAGTAAATGAGCCAGGCTGTTCTAACACTACATTTCGACATTTCTAGTAATAATCATGTCTCCGCGACCAACCAACAAGCGTCTCTATTCTAAAGAGTGATCTCAGCGATCGAAGTAAACCACATGTGCTCAGTAATGGTCCCATAGTGTCCGAGTCAAAATTGCTTGTTCACGGCATGGTATCACAATGATGTGACACTAGGCAATTCTACTTCATCATGGTCTCGGTACTTAGTTTCTGCCCTTGTGGGCACTATACTTTACTTTTACGAGGAAACAAAAGAGATGTGTAGGACGAAACCTTCAGAGATGCATCCTTTGAAGTGACGCTCAATAATCCCAAAGAGCGTCGGTGTTCTCACATTGGGCGTGCATAGTCGTGTGAGGAAAGGATTCTATCGGCTCCAAAACGTGCCATTTCTTATTTTTCAACTAGTCTTGTAGCTATGTACTTATAGTAGACCTCGGCAGTGACTTCACAGTTCTGAGGAAGGACTTCTTAGTAAGAGACTTGACGACTTCATGAGACGTAGAGCGTAATTTTCTTGCCATGCGTCGCATCAGGAGAGTAATTGTCCTTCTATCGAGTGGAACTCCTCAAGGATTTCAGCTGTGAAATATATTGAGCACCGGCTCCCCGTCTCTTGTAAGGAACTGCTTCAGCCAGCAATCTTTGCCTCCTAGTGTGAGCATCGGAAATGCTACCCTATTACCGATCTGCATACTGGCCGCTGGCCAGTGCGGTGTGAGTCGTCAGAGCCTTGACAACGATGCGGAGAGTTAAGCCGTTTAGACAGAGCGAGCACCCGAAGTAAAGCGTGAATTATAATGTTCTGCTGTAGTCACGTACAATGCGCGACGCATTGACGCGCTAAAGTGTGTGCTCGCCTCCCACTATTCGTTTTCTCTGCGCTCTCTCAACGGAGAGAGAATATGTCGAGCCAACCCGCCAACTATACTGAGCGCCGTTCATGTAGGAGGTGGAGGATGGCACGCACGCTAGAGTGGCCTAGCGCCCAGGGTCAACCGTCCGTTCGAACTGTTCGAACGAAGGGGTCGCATTTTGGTCGGAAGGGGGTCGCAATTTCGAGGACTGCCAGCCACAGGCGCGTGCGTGGCGTATCCGAGGGCAAGAATTGTTTGTGCAGACCGCATTAGATTCGATTATTATGCACAGAGAGACAGTTTTAGGCAAATTACGGTGTTTTCCTTGAGGAATAAAGAACAGTTGAATGCATCCCTATGAAAGGTTTGACTTCTCGGGGCTGAAATTAAAGTTCTTCGGGACCTAATTTTCTGAGGACGATTCTTCCAGACAACGGTAAAACACATAAGAAAGCAGAAATCTCGTAGTCTTCAAAAATGTCTTCGCCCCTCCCCAACAAGTTCTTTGAAGGAAGTTATTATTGCTGAAAGCTCAAAAACTCGCATGTGCTGCTCAAAAACCTATGGGAACAAAATGTTCGAACGTGTGATTTTCTCGGAAAATGAATTTTGAAAAACGGTTTGGTGCTTGTTAGAAAGAGCAAATCCTGTACTTTCACCCATGAAAAAAGTGCATCACAGAAATGAAAATGAAGTGAGTTATGGTCGCTGAAAGCCCAAAAACTCGCTTTTGCACGAAAAATGTTCGAACGGGACAATTTTTTGAAAAAGGGGACAATCACCAAACTTTTATACTGTTTTGTTAGAAAATATTTGAAGTTTCTGAAACTTTTTACAGATTTCCAAAATGTCGCATACGAAAGATTTTATGGGCCTTCAAAGTTGAAGGTGCGCCTTCTTAGAATTTTGGGTTTTCCACTTCTAACAGAAGTACTTTCCGGAGAGTTAGGCAATCCTTGTAGTTTTCTGAAAGCGCACCTCAGGCACAATCAAAATCTACCTCAACAAGTCAAAAAAATACGTCCCAAGAAAGTTATTCCCCTCTAAAATTTTTTCTTCGCCGCGTCCCGTTCTTCCAGCGCCCGGGTGATACCTGCCGCGCTCCAAGGCTGACGCGCAATGCAGACGGCGCAGACGCTTTCTGGCGCAACGGATTCATGTCTAGCACTCTTATTAACAAAAACAGGGGGTCGCAAAAATCCCGAAAATGTTCGAACGTGACGGTTGACCCTGCTAGCGCCTAGTCTAGCGCGACACGCGGGGATAAGCTCTCCCATCCCGCGCGCGAAGCGCGCGCTGCGTTCAACCTCGCCGCCGCCGCGGCGGCGGGGTAAAGGCTGCGGCGCTCATCCATTTTTGGATTGCTGCCCAGCGGGGGTAGCCTCATTGTGAGCATAACCCATAGGATTGTCATTGCGGAAATCGCGCATTGTACGTGACTACGGCAGGTAACGTCGTAATTCATGCCTTACTTCGGGTGCTCTCTGTATCTAAAGGCTTATCTCCGATGCGAATCGGCGCAAGTTGCAGTGGATCGCGGTTTCCGGAAATGCAAATTTGAAGAGAAATAGCGTACACTCTGCTTCTAAGGATTTGAAGAAAGTCGCTGTCCATGCCCTTAGGCCTGTGTCCTTGACTCCGTGTTGTAGTTCACTTCCTTGAATCGATGATACCATTCGCAATAGCGTAACTTGAAGCATCACCGCCTAGTACAGGCTCCGATGGGTACTGATACTTTAGCATGTTGGTTCTTCCAGCGTCATAGCCATTGCTGAAGAACGAGATAAAGGTCAAATTGAAACTACGGTTGGCTCCGTATATAATGCAAACCTGCACAAACTTGTCGAATCTGGTTCCTGTGGAATCGCATCAAACAAATTCCGACTGATTCCAGTGCAAACAATTTCTTAGGCTTATCGTGCTGCGTTTCAAATTACACTTTCTGTAACACCACTTCTTTGACACCCTGTTAATGCGCACCCCTAGCGAATTACAGCGCAACAATGAGAACTGATTTCGCTGAAAATCTCTTTTCAGACAGCTACTGCCCTCGCAACTTTGTCTCCAGTATCGTCAAAGCAACGGGTGAGTTTTGCGACTATTTGGCTTTTTTCTCATTCATGTCACTTATCACGGTATTTTAGCCACCTGTTCCTACATCTGCTATTTCAACTACACAAACGCCCACAACGACGGCTCAATCAAAAACGACGGCTGCTATATCATCTATTCAAGGGCAACCGGCTCAACCGCCTCCTCTTTCTCAGCTGAAATCTACTACCACAGCGCAAAGGACAATGCCCACACAAACATCAAAGAGCGCAGCACCATCCCTTCCAGTTCCAGCAAAGCCGCCAAACATTCGCACCACTAAATATACCATGGTGCAACCACCTGGCCGTAAAGGAAAGTCACCCACGGCAACACCTAGCCAAACATCATCGAAGGGAGCAAGAAAGTCGTCAGGCGTACCTATCCAGAGGACCTTGATGTCACGTTCGACTTCCACGCGCACAGGATTGTCGGCTCCGAGAACAGGACCTTCCAAAAGCACGACAAGCGCCAGCGGTCAGACCGCTCTTCAACCAACGCCCGGCACTGAGGATAGAAAGGTGACGCAATTAACAAAGTTTGTGATAGGTCCACTAGGAATTCCCGACTCTTGCTGGGCACTCAACTTATTTCCAAAAAATAACCCAAATGGTGTTTATTCACAACTGTTTGAAGCTAAAGAAGCCACTCATATAACTGTTTATTTCACCGCACCCTGCCTGACTCTCTAATAGTGATTCTTGTAGTACTTCGCATTGTTTTTCACCTTCCTAATACAAACACGACCGTTTTCTCCAAAGGTTCATCGTTGACAGCCCTGTGTTAGACGTGGGACTCGCTGCATTTTTATATCTCATTTTCTTTTCTTCTTCCATCTTAAAGGCACGAGTCGGGATTGAATTGATGCTTATTTTGTTCAAACATTAGGCAAGGGGTGCAATGAGGAACATTAGTGAGGAGAAAAAGCAAAAAGCACCATAGAAAACACTAAATTTCCCTTAGGAGGCCGGCCGTAGTACGACGGAGAGACACAGCGCTGCGAGGAGAGGGAGAACGCGAGATAGTACGTCGTACGCGAGAGGACGCAGAGACCACGTATGCCGTGGTGGATTACGCTGGCAGCACGGCAGCACACAATGCAGGTTCTTACCAGGGAGGTCTTCCAGGAAATGCCAAGCTTTTTCAAAACGGTTTTTTGCATGATATAGGGACACATGCATGGAACACCAAACTGTAGTTCATTTTTCCTGAGCGGCCCTCTGAATACCAAAAAAGGAGCGAAGAAAAAATTCTTAAGGAAACTGCCGTTCTAACCGCTTTTTGTTGTGACGTACATCGCACACAGCGTTGACCAGTGTCATATCAAAAGGTTCTCATGAATTGTACATTGAAAACAATGCGGAATTCGGTCAAAAATAAAACGATCTCCTTGGCATGTATTGAAACTATTGTGGAACATTCATCAGCGCCGTCTGAAGCAATGCTGTCAGCGGCAGTCGGATGGCCTAGTGGTTAGTGGTGCGGTCTGTGAATCGGAAGGAAAGGGCGGTGTTGATGGTTCGACTCCCCACAGTGCCAAAGTTTTGCTTTTTTTCTATTGTCATTTTCCTGTGATCGTGCACTCCTGCGCATGCATATAATGCGGATTTATGTTCGTTTTGAGATCCTACGACTGCGAATTCGTATTGGTCTCTCACGAACTTGTGTGTGCATCGATAGAAATTTTATAATTCATAAACAAATTGCCCCCGGAAGGCTTGGAGAAGGGCTAACGTGGAATAGGAGGGGTCCGTCCTAGTGATTACCACGGAAACCGAGGTTCTCCCTCGCAGGGCAAGTCTCACACAACGTTGCGTTTTTTGCAGCTGATCTAGCTATCGGCAGTAGACCCAGCCAGAAGTATGACCAGAAGCCCAGCCTGCCATTGTTTGACAAGGAGGAGAACCTAATGACATAGTCATTGGTGTCTTTCGCCACCATCGCTTGATTGTCTACCCCCCCCCCCCCCCCGCATTTTCTATTACGGGGAAGGATCTCTCATTCCGTAAGAAAGGACAAGAAGGTCGCCTCCAAATTGTTTACCAAAGAGCCTGACGGGCTACTGACCCATGGTCCAACTGTTCGAAGTTAGGACGAAATCTTAATTTTCCCTGAAACTTTCGGGCTAGGGGGGGTTATTCGGCGTCCTGATTACGAATATTCTATTAGTTTTTGGCGTAAACGTCATTTGAATTCGCTATGACGCCATTGGGCGCTACAACGGCGCCGTTTTGGTATCGCAACTTTCTCCACCAGTTTTTTAGTCAAAATCTACGTATGAAGGTTGCTGTTGCTCCTAATTATAGATATGACATCTGCTATTCACGCTGACACCCTTTTTCGTGAATTTTGGAACGCAACAGAAAATGCAAAAAAATTGTCACTGCGAGGATTCGAACCACGGACCACTTCATAACCCCTTTTTTGGTATTCAGAGGGCCGCTCAGGAAAAATGAACATAGTTCTGTGTTCCATGCATGTGCCCCTATATCATGCAAAAAACCGTTTTGAAAAGCTTGGCATTTCCTGAAAGACCTTCCTCGTTAGCGCCGGTGCCTCAAACTTTTAGTCGCGACAGTGTCGCGCCCTCAGTGCTTGGGGAGCCCACCATCGCACCCTGGGAAGAATTTTCTGCTGGTTGCCTAATCCTGACTCGTGGCTTTCAGACCTTGAAAATGTATGTTGAAATTAGTTGTGGGAAATCTTAAATTGAAATTAGACGTGGAAAATCGAAATACGGGCCTCGATTTGCAAAATTGGCGGTTAATGCAACTCAATTTGATATGGATCGGAAGACAAGGTATTGCAATAGCTACACTAGTTATTGGCAAGTCCTTCCCCACAATGTAACCTCGAATATTAGATAGCCAGGTATAAGTGCTGATCACAATGTCGCGTCTTTTTTGGTTCTTGAACTGGAAAAGTAAAAGAATAGAGTAGCAACAATCGGACCGTCCTAAGAAACACTGTGTAGCTACGCATAACAATACATACGGTACTAACCATACACCTTTGAAAATTCACACAAAAAAACGCACGTTTTTTTCGTTTCTTCATTACATCTCAGTTTATAATCAAGTTTTCTCAGAAAATGGAGACACCCTTGAATTCAGCTCGTCGAAATCTATGAGGATGTGTCTTCAACTTCGTGGATAGCCACATGCCAGATTGCGCCATGCACGCGAGCTCAGCTAGCTCTTGCTGTACCAAATCGTTTAGTTTCTTCACCATTTCAAGCATCGTTGGGTACTGAGGTCTTGTTGACTGCCCTGCTGTTCTTCAGCTATTCTAAACTTTCTATCAAAAGCCTCGAATGATCACTGTCAGCAGCAAGAATGGCGCCCTCTACCTCGCTTCCAGTGTAGACCCTAAGTAACCTAATCTAAGAAACCTGTACTCTAAGAAATTCCTCAGCGATGCTTCTGCTGAGGCTTTCTTGGCCCCACACATAATTAGTATTCAAATCTGCTGTAGGATAGGTTCCATTTTAAGGTACCAAAGAAATTGCCCAGACTTTATCACTGCAAAAGCTTCGCTAGAAAGTCGAAAAAAATTGCAAGTGCTTAAAGATGTTTCGTAGCACATCATGCACAAAGAACGTGCCTGCCATTGATTCAGAACAAGTATGGCTTGCCGAAGTAGCATTGCACTTCGAGCCCCGCAACAGTAGCTTGCCTTACCTTCTACTTCATACTGATTCCTGAACTGCATTGCACATTGAAACGTGTCAATATTTTTCCATTTTTTCATTGAAGACGTAAACCGTGTCCTAAACATGAATCGAAACTTCCGACAATTGTGCTATGGGCTCTGTCCGTAGTTGCGCAACGTCATCTTCGATTCTATTATTATATTATTATTACATTATCAAGAACTGTTTGATCGCTCATTATACACCCCGCGGCGAATATTTATGAATTAGTGAAGACTAGTCCCATATTGTGAGCTAAACCTCAACAGCTAATACCAATGCGAATAATAATGGTTCACATTAATTTTGTGCATTTGAGGCTTCACCCAAACCTAAAGGAGGATATCAAGCAAAACATAACACATGGGTGTAGGGGTGGGTGGGATTTCCAAAATTTTCACAATTCGATTTGGTATTCCTGCCATAAGAAGCCAGTAGATTAAAACAAAGGAATTTATAAGAGTCAGAATCTTGTAAAAAATTTTTTTCTAAGTTTCTCTTTTCGTTCTATCCCACTCCTCATTCACAGGAGGAAATCAAATTAATATGTACTGCACAGTCTAGACTCTTTTATCACAAATGCTCATTCATTTTTAGGCAGGCCGTCGATGAAATGAAGCTTCAAGTATGACTATCATCTATTGAATAATTATAGTTAGTTGTAATGAAGGTTGTATATCAATATCCCATGTACATTCATAAATGACATCATTGTACAGATATTTGAACTGTATGGCGGAAAAGGTGAAAACTAAGGATTCATTTATCTCGTAGTAGGATACATCAGGATCTGCACGACATGAACATTAACGGTTTTGCTTAAACCTTTGACTACTGGTGGGACACATGTGTTCCACTTTGTAGTCAAAGACACTACCACAGTTCCAGGGAATATTGAAGCAGGAGGGCTCATTTGATGGCTGAACTGTGCACATATAGAAGCTTTCTAATTCCTACTATGACACTTAGTCGTCAGAAGCTAAAGCGAGTCATCCTGCGTAAGTTAATCTTTGACTACTGGTGGGACACATGTGTCCCACTTCGTAGTCAAAGACACTACCACAGTTTTGGCACTTATAGAGATCGTAGAGCCCATTTGATAGGGAAATTATGCACGAATAGAAACTTTATGATTCTTACTGTGACACCAAATTGTCACAAGTCAGAACGAGTTACTTTGGATAGTTTAGTAAGCAAGTGGTACCACAGGTCACTGGACAGTGTGCGCAACTGCCAAAAAGGTAATTTTTGAGTCTCACACTCTTCATCCTTGCGCTAATGGTTCTAGTGTTTCCCTTAATTATTGTATCACGTGAAACGTAAGCAAACTGATGACGGACAGAGGCATTTTATCGGCCGCAATCCAGTCAGAGGACGACGCAGCCTACTACGACTGCGTTGGAAATTCTAACCTCCAGAGTTCTGTCAGTTTGGATGGTGAGGAAGTGATAATGGAAGACCCCTATGGTGACGCAGATTTTGAGCATGAAATCCAACGAAAATTTGTCAGAGAAGAAGCAGTCGGTGGGCGCATCCTACAGGCAGCAGAGCAGCACTCCTGCAATTCTTTTCAAGTGCGTTCCCAACAGGACACTGGCTTATTGCACGATTGAGCTGTGAGAGTGTGCACTTGTCGAATGGTAACTGAATTACCAGTTGATGTTTCAAAAATGCTCATCCTGAGCGGAAATGGTGTAATGGCAAGAGGGGCCGCTACCGCGCGCGTGGTCCCTAGATCAAATCCCAGGTCACACCCAACGTACATCAGCCAAATTTCTACAGCTGGTTGCCTGTTGCTGGGAGGGATAATTGCAACGCAGAACACATTTATAACTCGATTCTAAAAA